GGAATCACTTGGTGAGATTTTTACAGCCTGCATCATGCAAGAGGGACAATGAGATGATCATTATGGTCCCTTCTGACCTTTAGCTCTTCTAGCCAGACTGGTCACCATGTGCTGCAGTTAGGTGAGTGGAGTATGAGGTTAGATAGTTACACTAGAGATGCTTGGCCCCATGTCTAAGGATCACATGCCGACCAGCCTTTACCTGTCAGTGCTTGGGTTTCATGGCTCCCATTAATGATTGTTTTCGCACCAATAAGGTGGGGCTTCTCTATTTCCCTCTCTGTCTGTCTGACGGACTGGGACAGGCTAAGTGTGGGTCTGATTTTATTACATATGTGAATCACGAATCATGATAAAGTTTGCGAAGGGTTCTGATCAAATTGGGCCTGGTTGCAAATTAATCGTGGTGCCAGTTCATAAGAACTGCCAATCTGTCTCAAACTAGCACTCTCTGAAGCTTGCAATCCTATCTCTCATAATGAAGTATCATGTTCTTCAGAGAGAAACCCAGTGGCACACAGCTACTGAATAATCAATTCATAGTGTTTGTTCCTGACCACATGCAATTGGTGGTTGACTGATGCCCTGAAGCATGATGATTTATATCCCATTTATATTTTTCATCCTATGTAGTGTAACAATTGACATTTCCATCCATATAAACATTCAGCCTTTGTTCAAATCCTACTAGTATCTTGATCCCAATGGTGTCTAGCTTCACTGAGATCTACAAGATAATCGCTGAATATGATTCTGTAATGCAAAGGATGAATTTGGCCTCTGGAGTTTGGCTATACACTTTATGAGCTAAATTGTCTATCTGCCTGTAAACTCATAGCACCCAAACTGTGATTCGTGAGGCATAACAAGGTGGGTCTTACCACCAAGAGCGCCTCCTGCTGGGAATTAGCCTCTTTGCTGCTGGAGCGCCCCCTTCTGGTTGGTGTCTCACCCACTGTTACTTGTTATTCTCCACAACTCTAGGGCTATATCTACACTCGCGGCTTCTTGCGCCAGAAATATGCAAATGAGGCAAAGCGTGGAATATCACTGAGCCTCATTTGCATACCTAACTGAGCTACCAGTTTTGCCGAAGAGGCTCTTGCGCCAGGAGGAGCTGTCAACACTGCCCCTTCTTGTAGAAGAAAAACCCTCTTGTGCAATGCCGTTAAGCCAATTATTTTCAGGAATAACGGCATTGCGCAAGAGGGGTTTTCTTGCACAAGAAGGGGCAGTGTAGACAGCTCCTTCTGGCGCAAGAGCCTCTTCTGCAAAAATGGCAGCTCAGTAGGCATGCAAATGAGGTTCGGCAATATTCCACGCTTAGCCTCATTTGCATATTTCTGGTGCAAGAAGCCGCAAGTGTAGACATAGCCCAAAGTCAGAGCCCACATCTCTCCCAGATCATGTTGCCCTCCTACTAGGGTACTGCCCTGCCATATTGCCCCCATACTCTGGAGTCCTCCCCCTCAATCCCCTTATGCCCATCTTGCCTCAGTGACCCACTGCCAGTCTTCATCTAGCCCCTGCCACAGGGGCAAACCACAGTCTGAAATAGCCATTCACCATTAGCAAAGGGGTGTGGACCTGCTGCTTTCGCCTATCCTGGCTACTTCCCCACACTCCGCGTTGCATGGCGTGGTGTGCTCCTAGCATCCCTAGTAATTGGGTCCCTCCTACTTCCCAGTCAGAGCCAAAGTGTCTCTTCCTTCCTCCCTCTTTGAACCCTTATTTATACAGCCCACAGCTGGGCCCTAATTGGCAGCTATCAGCTGCAGCTGCTAGCTCCATGGCTCCCGCCCTCCTCCAGGGCTTGGTTTTAACCCTTTTAAGAGCCAGTGCAGGGCAGGTGCCCCATCACGTGGAGTCGTAAGATTTGATCCATGCTCTCTGAAATGATGTTTTAATTCTGAAGGTGCAGTCTCCAGAGGTTAATGACAGCTCAGAGCTTGCTGTTCTTTTCTAATGGCTCTTTGAATGCTTTTGGGGGCTTTGTATGTTTATAACTATTTTTAGGACCCATTACTTTCCCGTTCAATAAAACCATCTGCAATTATTCCCTGTAATTGCCAGGTGAAGACAAAGCTGATCAACTGCAGGTTTTTATTGCTAGGGAACTCAAGCAAGGAGCAGCAGTTTCTAGCCATGTGTCAAGGAAGATGCAAGCAAATATCATGGTAATCCTCATGATAATTTATTATTGATCTAAGAAAATTAGACAAACATGTCGCACACTTATTTAATTAACTCTTATAGCCCTCAATCCTTAACCACATGCTTAAACACTTTGATGGATCAGGTTCATAGATCCTATTGCCTTGGCAAATGTGCTATTATACACCACAGTGTGGCCTTCTAGAGCTGCCACCTTGTCATATCTAGTGCACTATGCCCGACTGGAATGTCTCAGCATCAGCACTGACAGAACTGCAAAAGCACATATTGCTTCTACTGGAGGTAAAGGAGAGTACCTCTATTAACAGCATAGGGCTCCCTAAATTCCAGTCCCATGCCCTCCTCACTAAACCAAGTTGCCTAGAGCTTAGAAGAGATGTCTGGGCCAACGCCATCTGCTACAACAAATACATTACCCATTGATGTTCTAGGAAGCACCATCAAACAAACCTAAACCATATGCTAAACCAAATGCGCTCACAGCTTCCACTACACGCTGGTGGTTGTCCACTTTGGGTCTAGTGCACAGTTCCAAAAAGGAAAGTCCAACCCTAAAGATTTTGAATCTAGGAAAAGACAGTCACAGCTCACCAGAGGGTAGTGGCTGGCAAGGTATATAAGTTGACAGGACAATTTTTTTCAGGTTGTTAGGACTTTACTGATGTCTTCAGGATTTGGAAAGAAAGAGAGAGCCACTACAGAGCTCCAGTCCTCCATGGGCCTAAAGTGCTTTCCAGACACTTAGGGTACGTCTAGACTACAGGGTTTTGTCGACAGAAGTTTTGTCGACAGATACTGTCGACAAAACTTCTGTCGACAAAGAGCGTCTAGACTACATTCAGTTCTGTCGACAAAGCAAGCTGCTTTGTCGACAAAACCCTGTAGTCTAGACACAACCCTACATGCAATAACACCTTCTGTCGACAGAACTCTGTCGACAGAAGGTGTTATGCCTCGTAAAATGAGGTTTACCAGCGTCGACAAAACTGCTGAGTTCTGTCGACGTTATGTCGACAGAACTCAGCAGTAGTGTAGATGCAGGTATAGTTTTGTCGACAAAAGTCCACTTTTGTCGACAAAACTCTGTAGTCTAGACACACCCTTAATCTCCCTCTGAAGTAGGGAGGCATTTGTGACCTCCATTTTACTCTGAGGGGAAACTGAGACCTGGAGAAGCTAGCTGGCTTGACCAAGCTCACATTGTCTCACTGGGCAAGTCAGAATAGAACCCAGGAGTCTTGGCTTTGATTGCCTTACAGGGATAAGGTGGGCGAGGGAATATCCTTTAGTGGAACACCTTGTGTTAGTGAGAGAGAGAGACAAGCTTCCAAGCCACATTGAGCCCTTCTTTGGGCCTGGGAAATGAGTTCTTTGGGTGCAATTCAGACACCACCTCGGATTGTTTAAGCTGAGCTTCTTAACAGACCACGGGCTTGGTTAAGTCATGAATGACAAACCAATTGGCAAAAGGACTAAGGTGGGATGGTCTAGGGGACAGGATACAGGAGGGCCTGGATTCTATGCAGGAATCTGCCCCTGACCTGCAGGCACCATTTGCAAGGACGGCACAGCCTTTCCAAGAGTGTG